CTCATCCCGCCCCCTTGACCTGTCCATCCTCCCTGGACTGATCTATCCCCTCCCTAATTCCCCCCCTACACTCACTTTTACTGGCTCTATCCCCACCACTTTGACCTGTCTGTCTCCTCTCTACCTATCTTCCCCTTTATCCATCTTCTATCCGCCTCCCCCTCTCTTCCTATTTATTTCAGAACCCCCTTTCCCTCCCCCATTTCTGAAGAAGGGTCTAGACCCGAAACGTCAGCTTTCCTGCTCCTCTGATGCTGCTTGGCCTGCTGTGTTCATCCAGCTCTACACCTTGTATCAGGAAATCTGCTCACTCTAGGAGCTGGCTCTGAGGTAGCTGGATCAGTGTCTTGTACTAAGCAGGTGTAAATGAAGAGTGACTTGGTGACAGGATGCCGGCCTTCATGGAGTTACTTCATTCGCTCTGTTGGATTGTTTTTTGTTAGAACGTTGGTGGCTGAGGGGTGATCTGATCGTAGTATATTAAATTATGAGGGGCATGGATAGGTCAGATAGTCAGAGTCTTTTTCCCAGGATGGAAATGACAAATACCAGAGGGCATAGGTTTAAGGCGAGAGAGAGGAAATTTTAAAGGACATGTGTGAGGCAAGTTTTTTGGGTGGTAGATGTCTGGAACACACTGGCAGAAGAGGTGGTAGAGCAGATACAATAGCAACATCTAAGAGGCATTTAGACAGATACAAGGAATAGAGGGGCATGGATGATGTGTAGGCCAGTGGGATTAGCTTAGAATGGCATCATGGTCAACACAGACATGGTGGACCAAAGGGCCTGTTCCTGTGCTGCACTGTTCTATCTTCTGTGTTGCTTCCTCATTGCCCTGCAACCTTTTTTGCTTTTCAAGTATATATCACATCCCCCTCTGAAAGTCACTATTGAAACCGTTTCAACCTTCCTTTCAGTGAATGCAGTCCAGATCACTGTATATTAAAAAGAAATCCCACATCGTCCCCACTCTTCTGCCAAATATTTTCTTAATATCAAATGGGTTGAAAGGTTGTTTTCATCTAAAACTATCTGTGTGTGTAGATTCCAATAACTTGATTTTGAAGAATTGTAAGTTGCATCATTTAAGGTATATTTGCAAACAGCAAAAATTGCCATCTGTTTTCAGTTTATCTGAGAATTCAGTATCATACAGCAATACTCATTTCAATTGTGAGTAACTCCAATCTTTTGTTCTCAAAATGAATAATAAACAATGCTACTATTTATAGAGAAATATTTTATCTGTCTCAGCAGCACAAAATTCTGAATAACAGTAATAAAACTTGACCTAAATAGTTCAATTACCTTCTTCCAGTACTGGTACATAATTTCTTTAAAAAAAAAAATCACTCCTTATTTAAAAGCAGGAGCATCATTACCATTTCAATATTATTGCTTCACAGGCTCTGAACAGAGAAGGATACTCCATTTAGAGGACAGTATGAAAGGGAATCAAAGAGAGTGAAGATTTTGCAACAGTTTATGAAAGATATGCAGATACTACATCATAGATCAGAAAAGGAATAAAGTTAGATGTGGAGGGACAGTTCCCTAAGAACTTGCTTTGCTTTTAATTCTCATTAAAAGTATATAAATTTTTAACTGGTGAAATATATCATTTAATGTCAAAGATAATTTGCACAAAGCAAACCCATTCCAGGGATGGATACTCGTTATGAATTACATGAAGGAGAATGTTTCCTGTGATAATATAAGATTTGTTGAAGTATCCAGGTGATACTTCAATTCTGTGATTCTACTGATGTCATTCAGAACAAATTAAGCAAAGCATTGGTTAAAATATTGAACAGAGAGAGTTGATGTGGGTGCAGTTACAGGACATTTGACTGGAAGTCACCATCAGATATATGTTAAGATGTACGCCCTGTACAGAGGGAGTAATGCTACTATTAAAAGTTATACTTTGATGCACTTTAAGAGAAGAGTGAAATTGTTATTAATCTCCTTGAAGTTTTCTCTGTGGTTAGTTATCTCCCATTCCACATGCCCTCCATAAAACACCAATCCCTCAGTTGATTTACTGGAAAGCGGAGTGGAAATATTGGAGGAATGGATTAATTGAACTCAATAGCTTTCCTTTGATCAATAGCTTTGTATGTGACTAGAGATTCCTTCAATCCATATGATTCCATTACTAGTTCCGTTTGCAACACCTACCAGAGCAGTTGCTGTGATGATCCGGGAGCTACCTGAAGCTCCAACCACCATTTTCACCTTTTTATCTTTGTCAAGTATAATCGCAGGAGACATAGCAGAGAAAGGTCTTCTGCCTATTGAAAAATTACAGATGCCGTTGCAGCTACATTAGTTGAGTCATTTCATTGTTAACCTATCCCATTTTCTCAGCTCAAAGTTATCAAATCACAAAATTGTTACAGTGCAGAAGGAGGCCATTTGGTCCATCATGCTTGCACCTTTTTCCATGTGCCAATCTCCGGTCTTTTCCCATATCCCTGCGCACCATTCTGTCCAAATAATCATCCGAATCCATCTTATACTGCTTCTATAATTACTTAAAATGCAGTAAGCAGAGAGTAGTTAGTCGTTAGTGGAATATATATTCAATGAGGTTATTCTCTGTTCCATAACTTCAAGGTGTTGAGTATTCAATCACATCAAACATTTTCTAAAGACCTACTTAAAGCATGCTCTCTCCAGATACCATGATCAGTCCAAGAGGAGAAATATAGACCGGTAGAGAAAAGGTATGAAAATCCCCCGAGCTGTCTCTTCCCAAAGACCAATGGGTCAAACAATAAGTCCGCCATTTCATAGATATGTCACTTGTCTCAGTTTGGGAACCTGGCCAAGTTGTTCCACGTTTTAAGCACTTCATGAACTTCGGTGTAAACGTGCCTGTACCCATAATCCATCTCCCACAGGCAGCACCAAGCTGTGCTCGATATGTCCCCTGCAGGTGCACTGTTTTGGTGGTGTTGTGTTGATGTGAAATTCACCCCATGATCTTAGTGGAACAGATTTCACAGCAACAGGAGCTCTGGAACATTCCAGAATGCCAAAGCGGATTTGTGACATAAAGGGAGCACAAGTTGTCAGCGAATGCGCAAACTTCATTAGCAAAATTAAAATTATGTTTTGTCTAATATGTGTACAACAGCATAATTAGTGCAAAATCTAAAAAGATCTCAGAAAAATGCAATTTTCATTTACCCAGTAGCCATTATGTGGACCCTCCTTCAAAACCTATTTGGGTTTAAAACATTAAACATGAACGTACCAGGTTGCACATAATTTTGAGAACATGGCGGTAGCCTCTTATTATCTTCATGTTGTGAAAAGTCTGCCATCTGATTATTGAATATTATCCCAGTCACATTCGAACGTACAAATGATCCAAAACTGCAAAATACAGAACAAGATTCAGAACAAAGTAATTTTCATTTGTAAATGGACAATAGCCTCAATTTTTTTTCAGTTCAAACTACAAGAACTGAATTTTCAACTTAGCCATGATCCATTGTGAATGATCTTCTTTATTTTCTGTGTGAAAAACTGTCCAACCAAAATAACTTGGAAATCAATCCTCAAAAAGATATCTAAAACAAATTGTAGGTGATCCCATTGAATTTAACCGTATTGTGATCATCTCACACTTACATTGCAATGTTTCCTTATTCTCTCAAAAGAACTAGACCACTCTAGCTGATGAAGAAACATGGGGGAATGAATTTTTTTCAGAGACTATCTCGTACACGTTTAAAGACATTTATTTTGAATGCTCTCTGATGATGGAGAGGGGTTGGGGGGTAGTAGAATTACCCAACAGACTGACATAATAGAGAAATGCACAGTTGGTGGACAAAGTCAGTCAACAGGGAATAAAAGCAGCGTCTTAAAAGGGACTGTTGATCCTTTTCAGTCAAATGCACCAGGTGAAGATCTACCCTGAGGAGTTACAAAGTTGTCTCACTGACTGACCCAGCTCAGGCCTCTTCTGCTTTAGGGTGGAGAAGATCCATGTTGACATTCTAGGAATCAAGGCTTAGGTGTCCCTTTCAGATGGAATATGTCTTTCCCAAATTTTGGGAGAGGGATAGAATTCACGGGTTCAGATGGCTGAGAGTCGTTGCACTTGCATAGAGAGCGAAGATGTGGTGGAATCTTGGCCCCATGTCACTTCAAGCCCAGAGGGAACAGAAAACAATAAAAAGCCAGTCATACTTGGAGATGAATGCACTGGTTCTACTGGAGCTACATTTTAAAGTATAAAAGACAGGACAGACCAGTATGCCTCATTCACCAGTTTTAGTAGATTTTCCTTCTACTTTTACAGCAAAGGACCCCTCCTTCAAGATCAACTCAAAAAACTTTGTAAAGTTGCTGTAGTCCTACCAGGCCATGGGGCTGCTCTCTCATTACAGATATACAATCGGTGGTGATTTAACCTGGGGGTCACCATGCCTCAGGCAAGGGAACATGTTGAGAATGAGAGTCCTTCATGATAACCTCAGTCAATGTGGGAATTGAACCCACATTTTTGCATCATAAACCAGCTGTGCAGCCAACTGAATTAACGGACCCCACTTGGTAATGTGCAATTGAAACAAATTGCCGTTCCAGAGAGGCCTGAAGAATTCTGTGTAATCAATATGATCTGGACTGAACATTGACTGGTTTACTTGATAGTAGTTTTCACTCACTCGTGGCATGAACCTGAATTGAGAAAAATGGCACGTCAACTCTGCACAGTGACACTCTCTTCCTGGGATGTGATATAAGTGGCTTGTTTGCGGTCTGTCAACTTTTCACTTCTTCAAATCCATCTCATTCAATCCATCATGTTCATATTGTGCTTGAAGTAACACTTCTCGTTTACCATCCTCTTTATGTCATTTCAAACCCAGGTTTATTCTCTTCAGTTGCCTTGTTTGAGCCACAAATCTCCATTATCCGCATTCATTAGATCCGTTCCACATTATGTTTTGCTCAACTTTTGAGTCAGCAAAGCCTCAAAGGGAGTTTTGTGGACACTTCTGTGCGTTACATTTCAGGAAAGATGTGAAGTCTGAGAAAGGATGGACACGAGATTTCCCAGGATCTTACCAGGGATGAGGAGGAGTTTGAAAAGTTTGCACTGCTCTCCTTGGAATGGAGGTTAAGAGTTGACATAATGGAGGTTTTCCAGATGAAGAGAAATTTTTCTGAAGTAGATAGACCAAATCCATTCCCTTTGACAAAGGATCATTAATCAGAAGGAATGGATTTAACGTTATTCATCAAAGTTCAAAAGGGGAAATGAGGAGATATGTTTTTAGTCAGGAAATGTTTGAAATCTGGAAACCTTAACCTGAAAAGGTGGTCAAAACTGATTCAATAAGTAGTTTTAAAAGGGCATTGGGTAGGTGCTTAAGGATAAGCACATCGTCAAGGCCAAAAATGTAGGTTGTGGATTAAAGTATGCCTGCTTGTTGAAAAAGGCTAGTTCAGGCACAATGTACAATGCACATAAATTCCCTTTATCCCAGACACAAAGCAAAAACACAAATTGCTGGAAAAACTCAGCAGGTCTGGCAGCATCTGTGGATAGAAATCAGAGTTAAAGTTTTGAGTCCAGTAACTCTTCTTCAGAACTTTTATCCCAGCATTGGTGGTCATGACTTCAGCTGCCCCAGTCCTCATTGCATTGGCAGCCCTAAACATTGTAACTCATTACCTTCCTCTCCTCATTCAAGGCATATCACACAAAGAGAAGTGGAGGGACAGGTAGTGTTTAGGAAGTAAGAAGGCTGCAGAAGGACTTGGGCTGAATGACTTCCTTCTGCCAGGGTTCCCATTGTGTGTTAGGACTATCCTCAGTTTTTTGATTGTCAGTAGTTATGTAAATGCAGTGTTTGAGGCTGAAGAGTGGTGGCTTTCTTCACATCAATAAATGAAGGAAATACTTACCGACCATTAATAGTGCTGGTGACAGACACTGCACTTCCATCTGGTGCTACAACAGACAGATGAGATGTTCCACCCTGCCCAGGTAAAAGGCACTTTATCCCATAATAATCAATCTTCTTGTTGGTGTGACTGTCACTGATCTTTTTTCTAATATCACTTGCTTTTGAGATCATCTCATTGACCTGTTTAATAATTAAAGCAAAGAAGTATTAGAACACGTTATCGTGCTTAATGATAAGCACCATATGTACACAAATCACTTCTGAAAATTATTTTGGGAGCAGACATCACCCTAACAAGTGTCCTAAATAAAAAAGAAAGCTCCTTATGTCACACTCTTATTGTCTTACCTGGAGCCAGTCATTTACAAGCACTTTCCAATCTTCAAGAGTCTCTCACTAAACAGTAATTAAATCCTCAATGACCTAATGCCAGTGTCATTTGCAAATTGCTCCTTGTTGCTATCAGCCGATTTTGCTTTGATTTGATTTATTATTGTCACATGTACCTATGTTCGGTGAAAGGTTTTGTTATGCGTGTTGTACAGGCGGATCATAACATACAAAGATCATAGGGTGATTGAACACAGCGAGGAATACAAAGTTACAGCAGCAAAGCTGCACAAAGAGTGAGATCAACATTAGATTTGCAATTTGAGAGGCCCATTCAGCTGTCTCATAACAGTGGAGGAAGAAACTGTTCTTGAACCTGTTGGTATGTGTATTTAAGCTTTTGTATTTTCTCCCTGACGAAAGAGGTTGGAAGAGATAATAACTGGGGTGGGAGGGGTCTTTGATGATGTTAACTGCCGTTCTGAGGCATTGAGAAGTGTAGATGGTGTCAATGCATGGAAGGTTGGCTAGCGTGATGGTCTGGTCTCCGTTCACAACCTTCTGTTATGAGGAGAAGAGAGGAGAATGGGGTTGAGAAACATATTGGCCATAATTGAATGGCAGAGCAGACTTGATGAGCTGAATGGCCTAATTCTGCTCCTATATCTTGTGGTCTATGGTCTATTCCTTTCAGGCCATTCCTCTGCTCTTAATTTTCGTGCCTCATCAATCTTTTGATCACACCACTGTGAAGCACTTTGTGTCATTTTTTCCTGTGATATATAAAGTTAAGTTATTGTTTTTGATGTTGGCATTGCACAAATAGACCAATTCGGAGGAGTCATTAGACTCCTCTTGCCTGCTCCATATCATACTATCAAGTCAGATTGCACAACTTCTCAGCAAGTACCCAAATGAGAGTGAGCACAGTGAATCACTAAACCTCCCTGTACACCTACAACTGTGTTGCCAAATTCCGAATGAATGCCATCTACAAGTTTGATGACAATACCACTGAAGTGGGACGGATATCATAACGACGAGTCAGAATACAAAAGGGAGATAGAAGGCTTGGTGATGTGATGCAGTGAAAACAACCCCTCTCTCAAAGTCGGCAAAACTAAAGAACTGACTTCAGAAAGAAAGGAGGAGAACACATCCTCATCTACATCAATGGGACTGAGGTTGAGAGGGTGAAGAGCATCAAGCTCTTCGGAGTGACAACAACCGACAACCTGTCCTGGACTTTCCACGTAAATGCAATAGTCAAGAAGACACAATAACACCTCTTCTTCCCCAGGTGGTTCAGCAAATTTGGCACGTCCATAATGCCCCTCACCAACTTCTACAGATGCACAATTGAAAGCATACTGTCTGGGTGCATAATGGCCTGGAATGGCAACTGCACTGCTCAGGATCATAAGAAACTACAGAAGGTGGTGTGCACAGCCCAGACCATCAAGGAAGCCAAACTTCCATCCATGAACTCCATTTACATGGCTCACTGCCGCGGAAAGGCTGCCAACATCATCAAAGACCCAGCCCACCCTGGTAATGATCTCCTACAACCTCTTCCATCAGGCAGAAGATACAGAAGCCTGAACACACGCACAAGCAGGTTCAGGAACAGCATCTTCCTGGCAGTTATCAGACTGTTGAATGGACTCTGGCCTCAAATAATGTAACCTGCAATGTAACGTGTATGCCTCTAAGTCTTTTTGATCTGTTCATCCTTTGCTTGCTGTGATCTGCCTGTACTGCTCGTAAACAAAGTTTTTCACTGTATTTTGGTACATGTAACATTAAAATCAATCAATCAATCAATCAGTCCCAGCCCTGGTCTTCCTTACCAGCGAGGCAGACCAACTACTGACACTATAACTCACTGGGCTTAACAAGGCTACAGACATCTAGGAACAAATTATTGCAGATACTAGAATCTGTACTGAAAGCAACAAATCCTGGAGATCACTGCGAGTCAGGCAGCATGCATGGAGAGAGAGTAAGCTAACGTTTCGAGTCTAGATGACTCTCAGCTCTAATGAAG